CTATGAAGCAACAAATAATAAAGGGTCATGTAAAAAGGAAGCAGATTCTAAGTTCAGTTATTAGTCAGTCAAGGAAACGAAGTGACTGATTTGCCACTCATTTCCGCCAGTCCAGAAATCATCTACAGATCATTAGGTGCCATTAGGAAAAAATAAAAATGGAGACACTTGTGTTTATAAGGGAGCTGGTTGGAAGTTACCTACTCACTAAGAATAGAGGGACAAAACAAGGGAAGAGAAATGATACATAGAGGAGTGTTTGAAATGCACGGTGCTGTAACTTCATAATTTTTTATTTCTCTTGAGAGCCTTGATGAACAAACTAGAGGACCCAGAGGACTATAAGCAAATAGAATTCCATGTAGTTGCAAGGGCCTGAAATTGAAGTAAGTAGATGCATATCTGCATCCTGTTCCATCACTTATTGGTGTTATTTCTTTCAGCAAAACAGTTAAGCCACCATTTCCTCCTCTGCCAAAATGGTAATGTTTCTCTGGCGACTGCTGTGAAGATTAAATCAGGTAATGGGAATCCCTAGACTATAAACCCAGGGTCAGGACGGCCTGGTTGTTGTCACTTGTATCTCCGGATGCCTAGCCTGGGATCTGGTAGCAGATTGAGTCCCAAGAAATATTTGCTGAGAGAATAAATAAAGCATTTGTTAAATTGTAAGGAATTATTCAAATGTTCTTTTTGTATTATTACTCCTTTTCCACCAATTTATTCAGTCCTCCCAATTGAGTGGTGAGATGTGTTATTCTTCTGAAAACATGAATTCCTACACAACTTTCTTTTACTCTCCTTTACTATAAAAAACACAAAACCTAAGACACTTTTAATTTGAATTTTTTTCACACATTTTACCAGTTTGCCCTTTTGTAGTGTGCCAACCACTTCCTCTTGAGTATTTTCTTCCTCTTTATGCACCATCCTCCTTCTTAGAAAACTCCACAAACCACAATGTAAAGTTAGTGCAGTATAAACCTGAGACTTTCTTCAGGTGGAAATGGCAGTGGTACAAATGATTTTGTAACTCAGTCTATACTGGTCAGCCAGCTGATATAACACAATAATCACTTCCAGTTGTTAAAACCTTTTGATTTCAACAAGTCTTGGATTTGACAAATGAAATTCACCTGTCTTCTCAAATGCAGTAAAAGGCACTTTGAATTTTTATAAATCATTTAAAGCAACAGTCCTCAACCTTTCTGGCACCAGGGACCAGTTTCATGGAAAACAATTTTTCCAAAGACTGAGGTTGGGGGGTTGCAATGATTCAAGTGCATTACATTCAAGCTCACCAACTGTTATGTGGCCCAGTTGCTTAGAGGCTGGGACTGATACTAGTCTGAGGCCTGAAGGTTGGGGACTCATGATTTAAAGGGAGTTGACAGATATACCCTAATTTATACTTTGGGTAAAGCCAGATTTCCATATAATGGATTTGATTTGCTTAAAGCAAGATACACCAGAAAATACTTAATCTGTAAACCCAAATCAGGTTATATAAACAATTTTCTTGCTGGAAAATACCAGATAGCTACTGTTGTCTTCAGTAGTCAAAACATTTAGAAACATCTACTGTGTTTCAGATACTGTGCCAGGCCCTGGGAATACTATGGTAAGTAAACACAGATATTACTCCTCAGCCCATGAAGTGGAGCATAGGGTCTAGTGGGAGAGATAGATTTAATTAAATAATTCCATAAACAAGGAACTAATTACAGATTGAGGGAAGTGGGAGGTAGTCTGAGTGAAAGGAACAAAGGTTCTATACCACTAAAGAGGGAAACCCAACCTAGAATGGAAGGGAGGTAATCAAAGAAGCTTATACAAGGAAGTGAAATTAAGCCACAGGAAGTACAGGAACTAATGGGAAGACAGTGGTGAGAAGAGCGAAGCACACTGGGAAAAATGCATGGGCTTGGCAAGTGTGCCAGACTAAGGAAACACTGAAGAGGAATTTAGGGAAAAGGAGTGGACAAAAAATGGTAGAAAAGGGTCAGAATCAGCAGCGATCTAAATGTATGTAAGATATAATGCTGATTCACTAAACTTTTTTTTTAAACAAATGATTTGGAATGGAAAAATATTTTTATCCCCACAAAGTGTAAGACTCACTCTCTGGGAAACTAATCATTCTCTGGCCTTAGTTTTAGGCACTCTTTACCACCAATTGGTGTGTTTGCCTTATTGTGCACAGCCTTGGATTTCTACTTTTCAAGTAAAGGTGGCTGTTGCTGAACAAATGAGGATAGCCTTAGTTGACTAGTGACATCAGTATGCAATTAGTTCCTATTTACCTTTTAATTTAATAAAAATTAGCTTTCAGAAATGCTATTAAGCAATCAACAAAAAACAAAGTTGTTTGGAGACTTCAACATTTATTTCTTATCTTCTGTAGCCTCTTTTAAATCAAATAAAGCCCCTCTTCCCCCCAAATTAAAAGGTTCCTTTTAACTTAAAATAATGAGCACATTGTCTGAACATAGCCCATAATGTTTCCATCAATATTTAAAAGTGTTTTTACACAAATTATTTACTAAAAGGAATAATTGTTTCACACCAACTGTCCTTCCATTTACTCTTACTGATTCAAATAGGCTGGGCAAATCATGATTTAGCTTTTCCATGTAGGCTGTTAAACAAGGATGATATTTATCATAGGACATAGGAATCCCAACTGTCATGTTGGCTTTGGTGATGTTCTTTAAGTAGTAATCACATGGCAAAGTCTAGAGTTTTGTTGTAATCATAGGTTTGGTTAGTCAACTCCTTTGGAGACAGCTGGAGTTTGAGAATAGAGATTCGGGTTCCAATCCTGATCCTGCTGCCAGGAGACTGAATTAGATGTCAATCTTCATTTCTTCATCCATAATGCATAAAAGAGCAGGGCTGCTGTGATGATTAGGTCTTGGAGTAGTCAAGTGTAATTACTTTATGATGGAGTTAAATAGACCTGACTTCAAATTCTGATTTTTGTTAACTTCATTTGTTCAATGTTTTGAAATATTTATTTTAAATTGTGCATAATGCAGGCAAGCAGAGCTCAAAGATATTGTAGCTTCAATTCCAGACTACCACAATAAAGCCAGTTGTAATCTCTGTGTGGGTGGAAGGTCTGGCCTTCAATTTGTAAAAAATACATCTGTGAAGCTCACTCAAGCAAAGCACAATAAAACAAAATACAGTACTTTCGTATCACCCTATATTTGTTGTGAGGATTCAATTGAGATAAGTTCTATAACTGGCTTTGTCCAGTACCTGGTATATAGAAAGCACCCAGTAAATACTGTCTGTACTCATGATAACCCATGATGATAGTTTCATCCTAGTCAGCATAAACTATTCAAAAGGCCTTCTACTTAACTATTTACAGTGCCACTTGGTGTGTATTTTTTAATGTGTCTGCAAATGTTTATATTTTCTTTACTATACACTAGCTATAGAAAACTGAAGACACCAAATTAAAGACACCCTCCCCTCGGATTCACCAGAAACAAGTCCTGTAAACACGAGGCCAGTAAGTCATATCAAAGGATCCCAGGTATGACTGCCTGCTGGAAGCGACCACTCGTTCTAACTCTTTAAGATAAAAGGGGATCAGATTAAAATAATCAATTGTAAAGATGCAAGATCCAGATCCAGTGGGAAAGACACCTAGTTGAAGTCGGGGTGCCTTTCCCCGAGGTTTTGAGGGTCTTGTATTGCAGTCCATTTTTTAATCTCTACAGGCTTTTTAATAAGCATGTCAGAATCATTCCCACAACCACTGCTGGAGTCCAGTGAAACTCGAGCAGTCAAGGAAGGGAATCTTCTTCCGAAATAGACGAAGCTTGCTCTACCGGCGATGGCGGCCCGTCTTCCTGGCCTGCTGCGCTGCCCAGGAGTGGTCCTATTAGTAGCTGCTCCCCTGGAGGTCCATCCAACCCGCAGCCAGCTTTGGCGTCGAGATACTCGCAGGGCGTTGCTGTCGCCCCTTTTGGCGGGCTCCAGCGTGCCGAGGCTCCGCCCCCCGGCGCCATCTGACCAACACCCGCGGAGGTGGGCGCCGCACTCCCATTGGTGGAGCGGTCCGTATGACCCCGCCTCCTCCCGGTTCAGACGCTAGCACGTTTAGTGGCGGGGGCTGGCCGAAGAACTGTAAAGCGAGGAGCAGCTCCTAGAGTCTGATAGCACGGTTGGGGCGCTGGCTTTGGGGCCCGCGAGAGGCTCCTGGGTCGGTAGCGCGGCCCACGGCCACGGGGGGAAGGGGGTGGGTGGGCTGAGAGCAACTAGGCGGCTAGCCGGCCCGCCGCCCCTTCCCCCCCAACACTAGTCGACCTTGTTGGCAGAAGCTTCCCGGGCCTCCACACGCCGGCGCGATGGCGACTGCTGCGGAGACAGAAGCTTACCCGCCGACGGACTCGAGCTGCGAAAGTGGCGGCGGCGGCGACGAGGAGATGAAACAGGAGCTTCCGGAGCTTGAATCCTCCTCACAAAATGGCGGCGGCGGCCTCAGCATCACGGAGCCCGGCGGCGGCGCCGGGCCTGAGGAGCCCGCTGCGGCCGAGGCCACCGCGAGCGTCAGCCAAGAGCAGCCTCAAGACTCTTCGGAGGCGGGCGCGGCCGCTCTCCTCAAAGGCCCGGAAGAGCCCGAAAGACCCGTTAGGAGGATTTTTCAGATCCCCAGGAAGAGCAGAGAAAAGAAAGGTGGTGCTTCCCCTCTTCCCCAACCCTTCTTTCTCTCTCCCCTCCATCTTTTCATTAGAATCTGTCTCTTCTTCCCACACCCATGCGAGACACGTAAACACGCATGCAGCGCCAACCGCCTCTCCCCTCACTGCCACGGCCGCCCAGCTGCTGCGCTTGGTGCGAGAGGAAAGCGGTGGAACCACGCTCCCCTGCTCCCCCTCTCCCCTTGGAAGTTGGAAGTAGCTCAGGTTTGAAGCTTGTCCGTAAGGCTGCAGCTCCCAGAGAGGAAAGATGGTGCTCGGCGCCCCTCCCTCCCACCCCTGAAGGCAGAAAAGCTGATGTGTCCTCCTAATGATGCTTCTGAGAAGTCTCACTGTGGAAATAGCCCGTGGCCATGGATTCTGGAGCTTTCTCCAAGGCCATTGTTCAGAGGATCACAAGTGCTTCTCCCTGTGGAAGTTCTTCAGCTATATGTGGCTACTTGAAATTTGCTGGATGTCAGCGTCTTCCCTTGTTTAGAAATATCCATTAGATGTGATCCATGCACACTGCTATTTTTCCATCACACTTCATTTCCATGTAGATTTTTCTTGTTTTTGAAGCGTTTGATTAAATAGGTCTCTCTTTTTAAATACAAACTTCAGTGTATTTTTAAACTATTTGAGAAGAATGGGAAGGTAGGTTCTTGGTGCAGTAACTTCCCTATGGAAAGAAAATAGGGAGAGGTTAGCTTATGCCCAAGAGTCACCAATTTGATGTTGAAGATGAGAATTTAAGATTTTAAAAAAGTCTAGGCTACTTTTGGAGCCAATGTGGGAAGTTACATGAACTACATTTTCCTTTTTTTTTTTTTTTTTAAAGCTTAATGCCACACTGTGGCACAGTTTAATGGAAATCAGACTTACTGTTTTATAGTACTATTTTTGACTATCCTGTGATTTGGGATATTCAGGAGTTAAAGTTTCTTTTTGATTTACTGCGTGGTTCAGTTTGTCATGATTTACTTTGGAAAATTATGGGAATTTTTTTATTTAGAGAAAACTTATTTGTAATTTGAATCAGTAAAGACTTAGGATCTGGAAGGAACCATGTGCTTCTTTCCATGTGCACAACCAAGCTCCATTAGCACAATTGAAATCGTTAGAGCCTTTTAGCAGATGCACATAAAGTCAAACTTAGTTTCTATTTGGATGACGAAGCCAAGGAAAGCCTTGTTAGAAACCATGGTAACGAAGGTGAAGTTACCTTTTGTCTACCACCATGAGGAATATTTCCATAAATAACTTTTAAGTGAGTTAATGTAGTATATTTGAGGGCTCAAGGGGATGCTTGTAAAGGTCAATTCTTTTGATTTAGGTATATAGTATAGTCTATGTGAAGAAAGTTAGATGCCTAGCCTAAATTACCAGTTGGTGGTAGGTTGGAAGTACATTCAGATAGCCTCTGGTTATGAGGTAGGAGATTGAATTTTTTTTTTCAGTTTGATGAAATTTTGAAGTCCATTTATTTTAGGTTTTAAGTGTCCAAAATATGGTTTCTGGTATATCACAAACCATGACACACCACCTTTTACCTTTTGATAGGATCAGAAAACTGGCCTAGAAACCTTTACAGTTTGATTTGAAATAAGGGAAGGCAATAGGAAATGTTTAAAGGCACTGTGTGTGTCTCTTTTAATAAGATAAATTGTGAAACCGCTGTATTTGAACACACTAAATGTGGATATAATTGTAAATTATGAAATACGAAATTTGTTTTCTCTCCTGAGATAGATGCCCCTTGGGGAAAATTTATATTTTCCATTTTCACTTAAGTGGTAAAAGGTTGTTACCTTTCTCTTGTCAGGGAGGTTGTGTATAAGGAAAATATAACACAATGTATTTTTTCATGTTTAGTGAAAATGAGTAATTTTTAACTTGTCTAAATATTTATATACTGAGCAGCAGCTATTCAAATAGTGCAATAACAATTTAAATAGAGCCTTTAAAAATTAAATAAACAACTATTTTGCCACCATGGACTTTATCCTGTCGAATCAGAGAGCAGCTGGTGCTTGGTGATAGAATTTAGTAGAAAAATTCAACTTTTCATTATTTTTAGAAAGTACTTTTATCAGAAACTGCAACAGATAATCTGGTTTTACATTTCATTTCAAAATCATTTCTTAGAAGTTGTGAAAATTATGAGATTTGGCTAGATATTAGTAGTGGACATCTAGGTCTACTAATCATGAATAGTAGATCATTTTTGGTAGACACCTGCTTGAACTTTTCAGTATCAAAGGTTCTGTTGCATTAATTTTTTTTAATATGGCAAACCTTTTCTTGTAGCTATGCTTTTCCAGTGAAATTTAAGATTAGGACTTGAATATTTTTGGCACCTTAAAGGTAAATACTATGTGAGTATAATGTGTTGACTTAGGAAATTCTGTTGGTCTTGAAAGTAGTGTAACATCCAAAATACTGCTCTTGTAATTAAATAATATTGGTAAATACTTTATAGTGCTTATTTTGAGTAGTTTATATGTATTAACTAAATCTCATTACTATGTGGTAGGTACTGTTCCCATTTTATAGGTGAGGAAAGTGAAGTACTGGTGGAAGGTTAAATAACTTGCCCAAGGTCACACAGCTAATAGGAAATGATGGAGTTGGAATTTGAACCTAGGTGTAGAGCAGGGACCTGTTTCTTGGAAGACAATCTTTGCATGGACTGCAGTAGTAGGGGGATGGTTTCAGGATGATCTGAGTGCATTACATTTAAGTTCACCTCTTGCTATGTGGCCTGGTTCCTAACAGGCCCAGACTGGTACTGGTGTGTAGCCCGGAGGTTGGGAACCTCTGGTGGTAGAGTACCTGTCATTACTCAAACTGTAGCAAGAATTTTCTTTTTTATAGTAAGAGTTTTATTTAGCTTTTGAACTGACCTATTTAAAAATTTTTTTAAACCTAAATTTAGAAATGTTTAGCATGTCTTTATCCTGGGAATTGAGGTAATGTTCACTTAAAATTAATGCATTCAGTCAATATTGACATATTAAGTGACTTAACTATGGACTGGAAGAGTAAAATTTTACTCTATTTATTGGCTGGGCTATTTAATATAGTAGTTTAAAGAGGCACTGTTCTACATTTAACTAAATTGTAGAATTGCATTTTGTTAGTAGGTATTTCACTATTGCCTTCCTTTACTTTAAAATCTAATACTGTAAGTCATCAAAAGTAAGTTAAAATGGTAATAGTATTTGATATAGTTAGTTTTCTCCAAAGTTTTTGGGGATCACTTTCTAAAAAATGTTTTTCTGGTTAATGTTTTCTGTAGAGCATGAGAGTAACTGCTCATGTACTTATGTGTCATGCATGTGTGTTGCATATTACCTGTTTGCTCTCATGTACCTGCATCCATACTGGTCTAGTCTATGGCTAATTCTTCTCCCCAGTCTCCATTTTCCACAAAGTTTGCAGTTGTCTGTTTGAAGACTTTGGAGCAAAGTGTTCTTCAGGAAATTGAAATGATGTTTTAGTAGTTATATAGGAATGACTGGGTTGTAAGTACCATATATTTCCCTACATAGAAGTAAACCTAAAAAGGATATTATAGACAGAATCCAGTTATTCACATAAATTGTTTGGTAGGTGCATGTAAATACGAGGTGATGGAAATAAAATTTTCTTTGATCTAGTCTCTAGTCCAAAAAGTCAACAGTGTTCTATTTGTACTTGTCTCCATAGATGTCTGCCAACTTAACTCATTCCTAATTCTGCAGTATGTTCAACATTGGTTTAGAGATGAAACACCATTCCTAAAGTATTACATCTGCAGCAATTTTATTAGACTGAACAAAAGTTTTTTTTAAAGTAACCTAATTATTATAAGGAACAAATGGATATTGTATTTTAATCATTAATACTAGTAGACTTTACAGAGGTGGATTCAGAGAGAATTGCAGACCATATGTGATCCACGGTCTCTTACTTTTCTTCCATGAATTAGTTACTTTAAATTGGAGTGTATAGTTCATATCATCTATTGGTATGTTTTGATAAGTGATCCATCTTTTAAAAGTATAGCTTCTTTTTATGTATATGTATTTAAGCATTTTTTAACAGATTTTATTTATGTTTAGAGAGGGGAAGGAGAGAGAGAAACATCAATGTGTGGTTGCTTCTCGTGCACCCCTTACTGAGGACCTGGTCTGCAAACCAGGCATGTGCCCTGACAGGGAATGGAACCAGTGAGCCTTTGGTTTGCAGGCCAGCACTCAATCCACCAGCCAGGGCATAACAATTTTTTTTTTTTTACATATACACAAACACAAAGATCAGCATTGACAATGCTGACTTACCTCAATTGGTAAAGGTAATTGAGGAAAAATGTTGCTTTGACTAAGGAATTATTTGATGACCTCAGTTTTATGTCTTTTTTCAAGTGCTTAAATATAACATTAGATTCTTAGGTATGTTTAGTATCCTACAGTAATGAAAAATCATGATAGTATGGACTGGGAGTTGGGAGACCTGGATTCTAGTTCTGACTTTGTGGTACAGTGTTTCTTCATCTGAATTATAAATCTCCAAGTGCCTTTGTAAATCCGTTTGTCAGTCCTATAAAACACATTTATGGTCAGTTTTGTTGTGAATTATGATCAGAAATCAACTCTTTAGTTGACCTGCATTTGACAAAAGTCCTGTACATAAGTAAAGTTATATGTGTTTTTTTAAATATCTATATTTAGATAAAGGGGTGAGAAACAGGAAGAGAAACATCGATGTGTGAGAGAAACATTGATTGGTTGCCTCTTGCACACTCCCAGTAGGGGACCTGGCCTGCAACCCAGGCACATGCTGTGACTAGGAATTGAACTGCAACCTTGTGGTCCTCAGACGGGTACTCAATCCATTGAGTAACACCAGCCAGTGCTAAAATTATGTTTTTTAATGTGTGGAAGAACTGTTGCTGTTCTTAACCTTTATAAACCAAAAAAAAGGGTGTATGGCTTTTGACCCTGTTAAATGCACTGAAATGAAAAACAGATTTGAAGGAAGATACATAAAAGAGTAGAAATGGCATAATTTTAGGCATCATGTTCTTTTTGTTTTATAGCTAATTGTGTCTAAGTATTCTATGTTATTTCCTGCTATAAAATGAGGAGAAAAATATTTTTTTAGTTATTGGAAATAATTAGTTTGTGCTCTTAAACACACTTTTTTTTTTTAAACTTCTGGTTTGGGACACAAGATTTGGAGCTCTGGGCAGCCTGAATTTGAATGCCAGCTGCTCTATTCATTAACTAACCTTGGGCATGTTAACTTTAGCTGTCTCAGTTTCATTTGTGAAATGGGTATAATGAACTAAATAGGGTGGTTTTGATGATTAGGTAAGGTAATGCATGTAAACCTCTTTGTACAGTATCTGAAAAGTAGTTATGACACACACTAATTACTAGGCTCAATAGTTGTCAGAATCTGGAGAACAATATATTGTACACTGACTTTAGTGAAATGAATGATTAATATATAAACTGTTTTCCATTTGAAGTCACAGGGTTGTTTATTATTGCCTCAAAAAAATGGGCCATAATTAAGATTATGATGTGTATATATTTTGTGTAAAAGAAGTGACAGGATATGTTAATCAGGGTATATTTAGAGTTGAGAGTATTATTGAGGACAAAAAAGACCACCAGGGAATGTACATTCACA